AGTAAGCGGCTGAGCTGCAACCTATTCACTTTGCCACAGGAGATGACTTTGATTACAATAAAGATTTAACAATGGGTAAGCTTGTCCGAGCTCTAGAAGCCTGTAGAGGAACATCCCCAAACCCTGATGAGATTTGATATGAGATGATAAAGCATCTTAATCATGATGCCATGATTAAAGTGCTAGAAGTGTACAGTGAAATTTGGAAGAGCCACAAACTCATGGCAAGGAGGTGGTAATCCCAGATCTGCCATCTCCTACCGCCCTATTGCATTGACAAGTTGCTTATGCAACCAATTGTTAACAGTAGGCTATTGCATTTTTTAAATTCCAGTAATTTGCTAGTTGGCGAGCAGTACGGCTTCCGAAAGGGACGCCAAACTCTTGATCAAAAAAGATCTTTTGAATTCAGTATTTTTAGATACAGAAAAAACCTACGACATGACATAGCGATATGGCGTACTCAGACAACTTTATGCTTTTGGATTACATGGAAACTTGTCTTGTTTTATTCAAATGCTGTCAATTTTTTTGACAATGTCATTTTTATCCAGGAAAACGGGGTCCCACAAGGAAGTGTCTTGTCACCAACATTACCAGCTCCCCCTCGGAGTCTTAAATACTCACTGCACGCTGATGATTGTGCAATATGGTATTCCAGCAGTAATGCAGAATTCTCGGCAAATCGCTTCCAACTGGCACTGGATATGATTCATAACTGGGGCCTCCAGTGGGGCTATTAGTTTTCCACAAGAAAGAGTATTGGGGTCATTTTCTCACATTGGAGGAAGCCGAACATCAGGGTAACTCTAGACAACCACCCAAAGCCTATTCAAAATTCTGCTAAATTTCTTGGTCTATTCTTTGATAGTAGACTCAATTGGAAAGACCAAATTGGTCAGTTAAGGAATAAATGTCAAAGAGCACTAATCTTAATAAAATCCACTTCTGGTAATAAATGGGGAGCTGATAAAAAAGTCTTTGCTAATAATATATGAAGCCTTGATTAGGTCTTAAGTAGATTATGGGTCAATTGTGTATGGATCGACATCAAAATCAAGTTTGAAAGGTTTGGATGTTGTGCAGAATGCTTGGAACCCTAAAATGTACTCGGATCGAGTGTCTTGAGGTGGAGTCAGGAGCACCTTCCCTCCGACTCAGACGCGGCCAGTTAGCCGACCCGAGCCACCCTAATGGCATTGGAGGCACTAGACCCTTTACCACGCGACTCCACGACCTCGTCGGGAAAGTCGGTATAGATCTCTCTACCTTCGATACCCTGGTTCAGTCAAACAGAGCGCCATGGGAAACCCCCAAATTTTCTATCATGGAAGCCTGACTTCCATCAGCCAAGGCCATGGCGCCAGAGGTGGAGGTTCAGACTGCCGAATCATACAGCGATCTTTCTTGCTGAACATTTTGCCATTAATAGAGCTATCGATTTTGCACTATTGACGACCCACGATAAAATAGTTTTTTTTAAGACTCATTAACTTCACTTAAAGCTATTAAATCCTTAGAAACCACTAAAAATGAACTGCTAGGTAATATCATGCGTAAGTTACAAGGTGCCAAAATCTCAGGTATTTTGTATCTCTTATAAAACCAAAATTACATCTGTGGCAAATTGAGTAGACCAACCTACAAATAAACAGCAAACATAATAGAACAATAGTACTGATGATGTTGCCTCCTTTGCAACATCAACCTTACCCTTAACCATATCCTTACAGTCTGCAATCAATACAAAGTCCATAGACAAAGATTAAAAATAATTTCCGACAAAAAATCAAGATTTTACATTATTAATCAGATGACGAAAGAATCATCAGTAAAGTAATCACCTTTCTAAGGGAAACAAAACTCTATGACCTTATATAGATTGATAGAATGAATAGGATCCATTGGCTTAATAACCTTGGCCACATGCCGCTGGTTGACAGCCAAGAAATCCAACAAAGAATGATACTGTTATTATTCTTATTGATGTTATGATTAATAAATTGTTATTAAAATTTCAATAACATTTAAGACAATGAAATAATACAAAAGACCCTTTCCAAGCAGCGGCTAGTGGTCACCGCTGCCATCAGATGTGAGCGACACGAGATATCGAGGCGGATAATGAAAGTGGCCTTGGCTTTTGGCTTTATTCGCTACAAGGCGAGTGGATGCAAGCTGAGCTCCTTCTGACGAGGTATGGAGAATGTTCCCCTTTTATCCCGCGGCTACGTCCTGGGCGGAGTTTGCTTCCGCAGCTGGAGTGTCAGGTTATCAGACTGTGACAGGGGGGTGAGTCGCTGGGCTTGCTCGAGGGGAACATGTAGGTCACCTAGGAGGTCCTTGGGTAAACCAGGCTCAGGAGTGGAAGGTGCGAAGTGGCTGCTTCCTGTAATAAGGTTTACTCAGGAGGCGGCGACAGGAAGGCGCAGCCTTTGTTCAGCCAGGGACAGATGTGTGGAGCACCACCTTCTGGATGTTTTTTTTAGCAGGCGATTCTCACCCCATGGCCCAGCCAAGTAGACCGAAAGTAACATTACTAAGGGCTGCCACTGTTCTACAAAGGTAGGTTAATGGGAAATTCAGTATTACTGCCACGGATCTCATGGCTGCATATTCTTTACAGTTTGGTTCAATCTCTCTGTGCACAGTATAGCAGCCCCGCATGACATATTATTTCGATGCCTGCATGCTCGCCGTATACCCTTACTTGGTGCCTCACAGAGGGCAAGAGTGTCATTTTACAAAAAAAAAAAAAAAAAAAAAAAAAAAAATTAAGACCGCAGACTTGAAGATTGGCATGGTGCCTTTTGGTCTGCTGAAGGCATTTTCATAGGGTATCTTTGGTAGATCAAAAAAGTACCAATGTGGGAGAGCCGTTCAGACTTTTGGCAACGTCATCGTTTAAACTCCGCCCCTTTAGCCTGAAAACAAGCCTGAAAATCGTTACTAGAGGCCCACCTCGTTTCTATTGTGCTTATTTTTTTCATTAGAATAACGTAGCCATACTTATATTTTACAATGGAAAGGCGTTAAATATATTTATAGATCATTCTGTATTCAGAGATCAAAGAAATAAACTATGAATACAGAGAATGTTTTCGTTGTTGATTGAGTCATTGGAAATACCTGGAAACTTTTCCTCTCAAACACACGTTGTCTCAATTGATTTCTTCGATTTTGTATATTGTCAATAATGTATGTTTGTATAAAGTTTGAATATGCTCTATGGCTTTAATAGCAATGAATATAGAATTTAAGAATTTTAGAAGTTAAATAAAAAAAAATAAAATGTCGTTACTGCAGTCGGACGATGTATAAATGTCATATATCCGGGGTAAAATATCTCTCCTCATAGAAAGGACGAAAACTGATACAATATTACGAAAACACCAACCACTTATTTTTCAATAACAATTCTCGGAGAGCTGGTAGCACCCCAGAGACTGGTTGTGCTTCGCTTGCCATGCCCCCCCCTCCCACCCCCACCCCCCGTCTGAGAGAGAAAGACGACGATGAGACAGAGAGAGGGAAAGAGAGAGAGAGAGATAAAGAGAAACGACGAGACAGACAGAGAGAGGGAGAGAGAAAGCATGAGGCAGAGATAGAGTAAACAAGAGAGAGAAAATGAGAGATAGGGGTGGGGGGGAGGGGAGAGAAATCTTGAGAGAGATAATGAGAGACTGGCAGAGAAAGTGAATGAGAGGGGGAGAGGGAGAATAAGAGGGAAAGAGAGAGAAACAGAGAGAGTCTTTGGACAAGTCGAGTGACCATTGTTGATACTTGAAGTTAGGTGTACGATACTTTTTCCCTAACCCTGGCAGTGCATTCACCAGCCAATCAGCATTGAGGATTAATGATGTCATCAGCCAAAGTTGCCTATAGCGACTGGTGCAAGTGGCGACGCAATGTACTGTAAGCCCAAGATAGACAATACACTATAAAGACAGTTAAGCACTCTTAAATGGTATGGAAATAGTTTACATTTAATGGTATGGGTGGTTTTGTAATACTGCAAACAATCAGATGATGAACAAGTTTAACTATTTGGAATTTCTTTGTGATGTGTTATATATATATATATATATATATATATATATATATATATATATATATATATGTAAGTATGTATGTATGTATATATATCTATATACATATATATTTGTGTATACATACATACATGTGTATATATATGTATGTATATATATATATATATATATATATATATATATATATATATATATATATATATATAACAATCCTCCCTGACCTGGCCTCGAACCTAGGTCACTCCGGGTATGAGACCGGAGGGCCAGTACTAAACCAACCATGCCACACGACCCACTAAAAGGAGTGTGCAACTAGGATCCAACTAGCTCCATAGACATTACCTATCTACTCATCATGAGTAAGATAGCGAGGTTTTACACACACTCCCCGTGAGCACTCGGTGGGAGGGCCAGTACTAAACCAACCATGCCACACGACCCACTAAAAGGAGTGTGCAACTAGGATCCAACTAGCTCCATAGACATTACCTATCTACTCATCATGAGTAAGATAGCGAGGTTTTACACACACTCCCCGTGAGCACTCGGTGGGAATTGATTTAGAATTTCTAAATCAATTCCCACCGAGTGCTCACGGGGAGTGTGTGTAAAACCTCGCTATCTTACTCATGATGAGTAGATAGGTAATGTCTATGGAGCTAGTTGGATCCTAGTTGCACACTCCTTTTAGTGGGTCGTGTGGCATGGTTGGTTTAGTACTGGCCCTCCGGTCTCATACCCGGAGTGACCTAGGTTCGAGGCCAGGTCAGGGAGGATTGTTATATATCTATATCAATGCGGTATTGCATTATTCCATCTTTCATATATATATATATATATATATATATATATATATATATATATATATATATATATATATATATATGTATGTATGTATGTGTGTGTGTTAGCCAATTTGCATATGTGTCGTTTTGTCGCTCTCTCATATACCTGTGTTAGCTCTGGAAGACTTAGATCATTCCATGTCTCGTTGTTATCTCCAGTCAGTTGGATCCGAAGGTGCCCTTCAATAATTCTGCAATGTCGGTAATCCTGGAGCCTTGTCGCATTAGCAGTTACTTCCACAGGGCCACAGACTGGAACGGAAAGGCAATGTTGAATCGTATGTAAATGCGCACCTAATCATTTGGGAGCACACATATATGGGCACTTACATATATTGAGTGGAAGATTTTATAATCCCCGTGTTAATATACAGTCATATGCTTAAAAAATGTATAAATACACGGGAATGAAAGTATAAACATAATTTATACTGAGAACCCAAAGACCTGGAAATACTTTCAAAAGGTATGTAAATAGTCGTTACATAAATAGTCGTATAATAACTCGTCCAAGTCTAGAAAATGTACCGTCATCCAAAAGACAACAAATATATTTAGAAACAACATGCACAAGGTAAAGCAATGTACAATGTAGCAATGTCTGCCTACAGCTCAAATCTGAGTAGCTTATACAAAATCGATTTGAAACCTAATACCAAACCTAATCCCTTAGACCCCGTCCTTTCACTTATTTCCTAGTGTTTCCTGAGGCATATTCCCTGTCCATGACCCCCACCGGCAGGAAGTTATTAATGGAATTACTACCCTTGTGGGTTCTGGAGGAGCTGCACAATGATGAATGATTTTATAGACGCGCCCAGTGCTACCCATACCCCACGCTCCTACAAGCCTTTCATTTATCTCGTCTCATTAACACAAGCCTCACGACTCGGTTTCAGATTTTTTGAAATCAGACCATGCAACTCAACAATACGAGAATACGACGTTATTTCAGATGCGTGATAATCTCTTGGTTGTTTAATTATGCATTATAGTTCTCAAGTTTATTGGTTTTGTTTTACTCAAAACATGATTAATACATTTTAAATGGTTATTGTCACCGCTTTAGACATGGACTAGAAAATATATACCTGATTATAATCTCAAAGAAAAATAAATACATGCTGATACATTTATGTAATACTTTAGATATGACTATTAACAATCTTTCTATTTTTGTTGATAACGTCTCACAAATATTGTTCGATTTTGCAGGCCTTAAAATTCTCCCTGTGGTTCTTTTGTTATATCATATATGCCCATCAAGATTTAGCTGGGTTTAAAGCAGGTGAACGCTCTGACCAAATGCATCAAGTTTGTTGATTGTCGTTGAATGTAAGATAATTCCTCTCTTTGAAACGAATCCTCAAGCCTCAATACTCCTGCACTTGTATTTCGTGACCTTTAGGACTGAGCTATCAGTTTTCCATTATAAGAATTCATTATATATATCCTACAATAATTGTAAGAGCAAATAATCATCATTGTTCTTACAGAAAAATCACTGTATATTTGTTTGCCTGCTTCAAATGATGTTACTCCTTGGGGGAGCGTACATGTCTTGTTTCATATTGTTTCGTATCATAGAGATAAAGTTCTCAAAATTTTGCTCATGTTGTGCTTCATTGGCAAGGATCATTGTTGGTGCATCATGAGGCACAAATCACATTTTGTATTTTGTAGAAAATATGAAAATAACAAAATGTTGGATGCTTTGGCAGTTACTCTCTACTTATCAAACCAACAGTTTTTCACATATTGCATCTAGCCTTTCAGCCGCAAGGCAGAAATACTCACACACACACACACACACACACACACACACACACACACACACACACACACACACACACACACACACACACACACACACACACACATACACACACACATACACACACACATACACACATATACACATACACACACACACACATATCCACACACATATCCACACACACACACACACACACACACACACACACACACACACACACACACACACACACACACGGATATAAGGACTCTCTTTGACCGGTCAAGCGCGGTCTTTATATCCAAGGAGGGCAGCGTCTGCGAATGTCCACGTGGGAGCCACGCGGGCCTTTAATTTACGGTATATTGCTGCCCACCTACTAACGCCTCGCCCCCGAGGTGGCTTAGACTTGCCTCAAGGGTGACCCAACTTGGCTGGTCCTAACTTGCTAATCTTGATCTCGCATGCGGTGTCCCTGGTGCATCTTCGTGGCTGCTCGTCCTTGCCGTCATCCTCGTCCTGGTCCCTGGTAAAACCGCCCGTCCTCGACATCTAAACATCCTCGAAGGTCTCGCCCAGGTCCTCTTTGACTTCGGACTCGAGGAGACTTCCTCGTAGTCCACGTCCAGGTCTAACTCGGCGGCTTACTCGCCCAATGCACGTCTCGCAGATCTTCGTCCAAGTCCTTCTCGGCTGTGTGCTCGTACAGACGTCCTCGTAATTTTCGTTAGGATCTACGGGCGTCCGGCAAGAAGCGTCCTCTTCGGCATCGCAGGGCGGCTGATACCATCGCTGACAAGCTCCTTGAGTTTGACTGGATCTGTGGCGTCCAGGCGGGCGGCGCCCGTCCACAGCATCATGAGGCGACTGGTACCTGCACTGGCGAGTTCCTGGTCGTTCGCTGGATCTACAGGCATCCTGGCAGGCGGCGCCCTTCCACATCCTGGGGCGGCTTAATACCTGCTCTGACGAACATCCTGGTCTCCGGGCTTCTGGCGATCTTCCGATGACGTTTTTCAATAGCTTCCGAAGGTGACCATTTCTGCAGCAGGGCCTCCTTCGGTGCCGTTTCAGATGTTGTGAACCAGAATTATACACATAAGGGCCAAGATAGTAAGAGAGAGAAAGACACAGAGAAGAGGGGATGTTAAACGACTCTAGTTGATTTTTGTTTTATAATTTGCAGTTTTTATGGTCGAATTTTCGTTATTTTCTTCTTCTTTTTTCATTTTGTGTTTTACGTTCACAAAGTTACAAGTTAAAAGAGGAAAATAGGAGAGGGAGACGACTATCTTGAACTACCAAACCGTCTCTTGATAGATACGAGAATAAATTAAGGGAAACGACAATTGGCAATCTGTAAGGATTTACTTGAAACAAATGTCGAAACAGAAAGGAAAGTATGTAAGATACGAATTCATGTACAAGTCACACATCACGACTAACAAAATCGCGGGCAAAGAGATACGTACGCCTGCAACTACGACAGCAGCAAACCCTATTAATGAAGGTTTCAGTGTCTTTTGTTCTGTGTCGTGAGTGAGTGAGTGACTGTGTGTGCATGTATGAGTGACAGTGAGTGGGTATGATAAATGAGAATAAGAGTGACCTCATACAGAGCAGGAATGTAGCCAACACGGAGAATAAAGTTCATTTTAACAATAATCTGACTAATTATTTATAGATGTAATTCAAAATTATGTCACCAATGAACACGTAACGGTTGCTATGCGTTATCCCTATTTTGTAACAATTAGTGGAAACAATTAAAAGGGGATGGAAAGGCCGTCTTCTCAGCCATATCATTGTGTCAATCACTCAAGTGAAAGCGAGATCAGAGCTGCCAGCTGTCCCAAGCGGGCTCTGACTAATGACATTCACGTGAGGTCAGGTCAAGACAGGAAATGGTCAGTGAGAAGGTGAGAAGGGGAATAATGAATGATGTTCGTGAAAAGAAATGAAATCACGAACGCGCTAAATTCGTTGCAATTGAAACAATATGATTCTCTAATCACGAGAAAAACATTAATAAACACTTAATAAATGAATGATATTCCTAATGTTTGACTTCATACGTTATCACACAGTAATGAGATGTGAGGTCAGATGAATGAGAGCATGCCATTTGCTATCAATTAGCACTTAACCCAACAAACCTAACGTGAGCATGACTGTACATACTGCTTAACACATTTAGGGAGAAGATAGAAAAAAAAAGGAAAAAGAGTAAAGAGAAGGCCCAAATGTGTACTCACGGGTTTGAAGACTTTTCATCATTGTGTTTTACAGTGGCGAGGGATTTCTTCGGAGATTGATTCGGGTTACGAGTCGAAAGGACGCACCGCCTGCCACCAGATGTAAGGCGGTGCACAGTAGTGATCGTTAACGTACGTACGGCTCACAACAACCACCTCTGCCACCAGATGTAAAGGGTATATATTGACCACTTATACATTGGTAACAGGGTAGTAAAAGCTTGGTGGCTTGAGACTTTATTCTGTAAGAATGAAGCACACAGAGAGACGAACACGAGAAAAACTCTTGGGTTAGCGCGGGTCGCCTAAGGTCACGGCGCGGCCACCCCAGTGGGCAGAATGACAGCGCCCTGGGATCAGATGTGACCGACTCTGATTGACTCTCTTTGACCGGTCAAGCGCGGTCCTTATATCCGAGGAGGGCAGCGTCGCTTGGGTAGCGAGAGGAAGCATCGAGCGTGGGAGCGCCCTTCATGGCGCGCCATGTGGCAACTGCGAGCGTCCACGTGGGAGAGTCAGAATCGGTCGCCAGCGCATGTCAGTCACGTCTGATCCCAGGGCGCGGTCATTCTGCCCGCTGGGGTGGCCGCGTCGTGACCTTAGGCGACCGGTGCTAACCCAAGAGTTTTTCTCGTGTGTTCATCTCTCTGTGTGCTTAACTCTTACAAAATAAAGAGTCTCAAGCCACCAAGCTTTTACTACCCTGTTACCAATGTATAAGTGGTCAATACATACCCTTTACAGTGTCTACATATATATGTTGAAGAACACGTGGAATTCATGTCAAATAAATTGGACAGATTGAAGGAGGATGAGTGTTCCCGAAGGTTTGCCGAGGCTATCTCTGGTCGTTCACACAGCACTTGAGGGCCTGACAGACCCTGTCCTTCTGTGAGACACCTTCAAGCGTAAAACTCTTGACGCAGCCCATGAATCGGTTGGTGAACGCCCAAGAGCAAGACAGAATTCCATCTCGCAGGAGACACTGGAAGCCACAGATGCATATCGTGCGGCTCGATTGTCAGGGGATTGCAACCTGCAACGTTCTCTGGCGCGTAGGACTAGGACACTGTTGAGAAGGGATAAGGAACAGTTTATCAGGAATCTTGCAGAGGAAGTCGAAAGCCATGCCTTAATAAATTACCTTCGCCCTGCCTACCAAGTCCTGAGAAAGTTGAACTTCAAGCCCTCCTCACAGACAACTGTAGTCCGCTCAACAAATGGCCAGATAATCTCAGATC